ATCTGTTAGAAAACTAATATTTGTTTTTTTAAAAAAAAATCATTTAGACTAAAACAAAGATATTAGAATTACAACTAATTAAGAATATACTTGTCTGAAAATAGATAATGATATTATTGTTTATTTAAGTAAATTAGAAGTTCCTATTATGATATTGAATTTAAATAATGGTATGGTTTAATTTAATTAAATTAATGAAAATTATATCATTTTTGCACTTATTAACACTTTTTTTTTTAGATATACAAGAGTAACTAATGTATAACTTTATTAAAAACCATCCTGAGTTAGGTTGTTTATTACTTGTCATGGTTTACTATATTCAATAATTGAAGGTTCACTAAATCTTCCTCTATTTTATAAGTTAAATTTAAAATACAAAGGGCCGCCAAAAGTCTCTGAACACCATTTTTTAGGTGTGATTTCATGCCGTTAACATCATGTGACTTAATAATATTATGGTCATATGATATTTTAAACCTTGTTTACATGAATCAAATATAATAAATGCGTATCTGGTTTGTTTATTTTGATTTTAAATCAAAATAAACTTTAATCCCAAAAATACCTAAATAATGTCTAAAGAATTAACTGCAGAACAACGCGACGCTATATTTTTTTGCTGTCAACGCGGTGATAGTTACCGAACTATTACCATGACAGTCGGATGTGATGTGTCAACAGTATTTGACACTTTAAAAAGAATGGATGACATCGGAACAACTAATTCAAGGCCTCGCTCTGGCTGACCATCCCTTCTTGGATCTTTACAACAAAACCGACTTAAGAAATTTGTAACCAATAATAATAGAAAGAACTGTCACTTATATACTTCAAAAATTCAACAATTCTGGAATAAAAAGACTGGCCAAGTTATTTCAACTCGCACTATTGGCTGTGTACTTCGTGCAGTTGGATTAAATAATCGTATTACTTGATGCAAGCCTCTAATCTCATCAGTAAATATGGAGGCACGTCTTGCATGATGCTTAGAACATCAAAGTTGGACAAAGGACGATTGGTCGAAAGTTCTGTAGAGTGACGAGTCGACCTTTTCTCAATTTCAACAATCTCAGTGCAGTAGAGTTTGACGAGAACCTAGTGAAGAATACAACATTTCTTATATTTCTGCAACAGTAAAGCATAGCCCAAGTCAAATATTTTGGGGATGCTTTTCGAGACAAGGTGTAGGACCTATTGTTCCATTATTTGGAATAGCAACCGGTATCTCACATGTTACTATCCTTCAAAAGTTTGTCATGCGAACCATGAGGCGTGTATTTCCAAATGGTGATGGTTAGTTCTAGAAGGATAACGCTCGTCTACACACATCAAAAGTTGCGAAGAAATTTCACACAGAAAATGGCTTGCGCAAATTTTCTTGGCCGGCTCAAAGTCTAGACCTCAATCCGATTGAAAACCTATGGGCAGATGTTAAGAAAAGCATTCGTGGAAGGAAAAAAATGCCTTCCAATATTGCTGAACTCGAACAACATATTAACAAGAAATAGAGAAAAATTCTGATACAAACTATCAAAAATTTAGTCGATAGTATACCACAGCGAATTCAAGCTGTGATTAAAACAAAGAGAGGCACAACTAAGTATTAATTACTTAATACAAAACTTAGCGAATATCTTATTTTAATAAAGATATTAATAAACTTTTTTTATTCATATTATAAAATTTTAAGTTTTTTAATGAGCTAAAAAGTGTTCAGAGACTTTTGGCGGCCCTTTGTAGTTTATTATAAATAATAATTTTATATTAACTAGTGTGACTTTAAGATGTTGCTTTTTTTTTATTAATTATAAATTAAAAAGGAAATAAGAATTTACATTAATGTGTTACATTGATAATTTTTTTGTATTATGTAGAATAGATGTGTAGTTATATGAATAGAAAGTTTTTTAAAACGTTTTCTAGTCTTTTATATTCTTTAACTACATTTAAGTTAGTTATGAAAGCTTCTTTGTTAAGTGTTAGAATTTGAATATTTTTCCAGTTTGAACATCTGTTCAGGATGATATATGCTTATTTAGATAAGAATATTTGGTTATTTAGATTAATAAAGATATAGTTTAGGCTTAGTTTCTGGGTTTTATATATAGTTAAGGTATAGGAGTTCTGAAGTGAAAATTGGTGATAGCTGGCTTAGTTTCATTAATTGTAAAGTGACTAGTGATTGGTTCAATATTTATATCTATTATTCTGTCTGATATACTAAATGAGACTCATACTAAGTTTATTTCAGTGTTGATATTTGTACTGATTCTGATTGTTGCATAGCAGATTTTTAAGTTTGTTTTTAAATTGTTGAGAAATATAACTTTTGCATCTTGTTAGAGTCAAATTGATGAGAGAAGATTTATTTTTAATTTGAATGTTTTTTTTGTTATATTCATGTTGTATTGATCTTCATTTATTGTATCAATTGTTTGAAAAATTATGAATTTATTTTCAGTTATTGATAGTATATTGCAGATTAGTCAGTTTGTCTTATCAGCAGTTTCATAGTATCCTATTATGTTTATGATGTTGAATAGAAGATTGATTGGTTTATTGATGTTAAATTATTCATGTTTTCTTATAGTTTTTTCTAGATTTTTCTGTTATGTTTCCTAAGCAAATTTTTTTCAGCATATTGTAGAATTCTAATTATTCTTCTTAGCATTTGAGTTGATGTAGAAAGAGAAGGTAAAATAATTTTTATTTTGATAATTTGAATATAGGTGATTCAGTTATAGGTGGTAGTTATGCTAAGCCTCTAGTGACTACGATGCTAATTCCTCTGAATGCTAAGGTATTGTTATAAATACTAAAATAGAACTAACAGAAAGGTTTTCTTGATTTATTTCGATCAGGTCTTAGCATTTACTATTATCTAAATATTAGAATAATAAGATGGTGATTGTTAATTAAATTTATTATTTTTTTTTAAATAAAAATATTTTGATGTGAATTATTTACTTCTAGTATATTCTCATAAGGAGAATTTTCATTAAGTATAAATTTTCCTGTAAATCTCAATATATTGTCAGGTATGAATATGGAAATCCATTTGGATCTTAAAAGATTTTTTAGAAAAAAGGCAGTTATTTTAATATCTATACTTATATTATCTTTTCTTTTTATAACACTGATCACTTCTCTTATTACATAATCAGAGGAATCTCTTTCATTAACCAAATGATACAAATCAAAGTTAATTTAGCAGACATAATGATTTGATCTTTACAGTTCATATAGAAAAAAAAATTTTTCAAAAGGTTTATTTTATATTCATTTTTTTTATTTATTTATCTGAAAAAAAAGATTTTTTTTTCTTATGATTATTTATTTATTATAATTACAAATAATTCTTTATGATTCTAATGACTTCATATGATTTAGATAAATAAAGAATTTTTTTTATTATAAGGAAAAAGAAGTCAAAAACGTTTTAAAAAAAAATTGGTGAAAGGAATGATTAAATTAGTTATGATATTTTTGTGATCATTTCTTCTGTATTGTTTCTTTTGAATTTGGCAAAAGAAATGGTTGTAATATTTTTGGATTAGTTATAGCATTCCTGTGATTTTTTTTTAAGAAAAAAAAAATTGGTGAGAATATAACTAAGTGATATTTTCGAATTAGTTATAGTATTTTTTTTTTTTATTATAATACATTCAATTGGTTTTTAATTTTTTTTTTTCTTAAAAAGGATTTATGTAAACAAAAAAAATTCTTATATATTGACCTATTATTTGTAATAGCCATAAGCATATACCTAAAGCTTAAAGGCTATGAATAAGTTTAAATAAGCTCAAATAAGCTTAAATAAGTTTATATATTATATATATATTTTTTTTTTAGACTAAGCAACAAAAAAGGCAGAAAAATAAATTAACCAAAAATTGAATTACTTGGTTAGTACAATATTCTTAAAATCATAGATCATATTCACTTTAAGTCAGCCATTATAACACGAATTCTTTTTTAAGTTAAGCATTATAGCACAAGCTTTTCAGCGTTCTTTTTCCTAGACGAAATATAATAGTAAGCAATAATATATTCATATCTGAATAGACTAAAATTTAAAAAGAATTATATGAAAATAAATATTAGAAAATATGTTTCATACTAAAATAGCAAATTCAAATAATAAATTCTCAGCTCAAAAAATGCATAAAAAATTATGTAAATGCATTCAGGTAGAACTAAACGAAATGATATACCTAAATTAATGAAAATGGAAAGAAATTATGATAATATATGAATTAGAAAAAAAGAGAAAATGTTAAAACTATAAAAGAATAAATAATTTAAACGTATAAAAATGCATAAAACTTGAATTTAGTGTAGACATTTCCATTAAACTTAAATTTGGTAAATTTTCTTGATTAGATCAGTATCAAAACTTTTGCGGTACTTATACAATGCTCAAAATATGTTAATGTATGAGATCAATTTATTAAATTTATTAGTAATGAGTTATAAATATAATAATTATTATATTGTAGAGTGAAAACAATGAGACTTGATGTACGTTTCGTCCAATACTCGCGTAGGCAAACTTTTATTTAAAAAGTTAGTTGATTAATAACAAATCAAAGCATAAAATAGGAAGAGAATGTCACCTACCCTCAAAGTTAATAATAATTGTATAAGAGGTTTTATACGCTTGATGTGTTGGAATCCAAAAGGAATATTAACATGTTCAAGATGAAAATACCCTGTGCATCATCAATCAGAACATGAAGTTAGTCATAAACAAGTTCTCGCGTTATAACTACATTGACCGGTATTGAAACCCGAACCTTAACGGGTTGGACAGCAGGCCAAAGCTTAATTGTTGCCCGCTGCAGTGCAGAAATCAATCAACTGATGCTCTTTTCGTCAAAGACTAAGCTATCCTAAGTAAAACAGCTGGAGATCGAAGGTTAAAGCTTCCATTCTTTTACCATAGTCTCCTGCGTTACAACTGTATTGACCGGTGTTGAAACCTGAACCTTGACAGGTTAGACAGCAGGCCGAAGCTCAATTGTCGCCCGCTGCAGTGTAGATATAAATTGATGCTCTTTTCGCCTGAAGATGGGAACCGCAAAGTAAAGGTAGAATGTATGTGTAATGGTTGACATGCTCAATACATGATCTACTTTGCTCGTTATGCCGTTATGGTAGTTTGTTATTGGTGTCAAATGAAGTAAGTAAGTAGGCGTATCAATTCTAAAAACAAAAAAAAATTCCACTTTTCGAAATTAATTCAATTGATCAGTTCTTAAATGTTACATATGTCACGTAAATTTTTTAAGTGGTGTAGGGTATCCAGAAATATGTGGTGGTAAATCTCAAAATATGTATGTGCTAATAAATAAAATATGCGATAATATGTGTTCATAAT